CCCCAAAACCCCAAAACCCCATTAAGCCAATCAATTTATCTATTTTTAAAAATCAATAGAATCAGAAATTATAATTATTATTAAGCAAAATTTAAGCCTGATGAACAGCAATTCAAACATCAACAAAGAACTAGTAAGGTTTAAATATCGACAAATACATTTTATAATCATATTTTAGCCATAAGGACCATCTAGATTTGATTTTCTAAGCTACCTCACCTGCATTTTATGTTAGGGTATTTTCAGAGACGCTCATACTTTAAATGAATGCATGTGCACATGTAAGTGCAAACACCTATTCGAATGATCTATTTAGTTTGCTATACTTGTATCTCGAGGCATTTCATGTCTCCTGCCTTCAAAAGATAATGTCCCAAATGCTTGGAGCCTATCACCAGCAAGCCAGATTTGCAGCTCGTGAAGGATTTGACTTTTCAAAGTCTTGCTGACTGGATATTCCCAGAATTCGTCATCAAAGAAAACGAATTAAGAGCACAACTTATTGAGAGTTTCAAGAAGAGAAGAGAGGAATCCTAAGCTTAGATAAGTTAGCAACAGCTGTTAAGCATGAGTCCTTAGATCTAGATATCGTCTAGCAGCAACTGCAGTTCAAGTGATTCTATGATGTCGGTGATCAAGATTGAGTCTAGCTCAAACTCTCAGAACTCAAATTCTATCACCTCTCAATCTTTGCCGTCAGTATGTTTTCCACCTTAGCCAGAGATCAATTTTGAGTTTTACCTGATGCCTTTCAAGGATGACGATCACCACCTGATTCTGGACGAATTACCTAAGAAACTTAAATTTGCCAACAAAAACAAGACCATTCTTACGATAAAAAAGCACATTCACAACTACTTGAATGAGCCTATCGAGAACATCGAGATACTTTGCAAGAACTTCCCTGTCGCTGACTCTCACTCTCTGGAGTATATCAAAAAGACTAAATGGAAAAACTCAAACAAGAAAATGGAGTTGCAGTATAAAAGGAAAAATAGAGTCTAGGTTGATAAAAAGAAACTGCAGAATGATATCTTCTTTTGAATTATTCTAAATTTCTTTTGGATAAATTAGTCTAAATTGCTTTTGGTTATAAGTTTGATAAATATGATTATTTCAGTTTAAATTCCAAGACTATCTATTTTTAAATTGAGGTTTTGGGGTTTTGGGGTTTTGGGGTTT